GTGTGACTTAACTAATGGTGTATTGGTGAGCATGGTGTCACTCAGGGCTGGCAAAGCATTTGCCTGATTGGGCTTGTTCTCCTGTGCCTCTGGCCCTGATGCCATAAGGTTGTGCCTGATTGGCCGCTGGTCCCAGGAGGAGGGTAAGGTATTTAGAGCAGACCTGGCTGAGACCAGCCAACCGCAGATGCATAGGCAGCTTCAGCCCAGCCAGCCCAGCAGAGCCAGCCAAGATCAGCCAGTGCCCAGCGGACCCAGAGGTCCAGAATAAGCGACTGTTATTTTTAAGTCACTGGGTTTGGAGTGGTTTGGAGTTCAGCATTTTCTGGTGACAGCTAACTGATGCCACCTCTTGTAGATCTCACCTTCCTGATATCTTTTGTCCATCTTCCTCTCCATCCCCTGACCTCTGTTTAGCCTTCTAACAGTTTCCTGCCTGGCCTCGGTGTCTCTGGTCTCATGAATTCTAATTCATCCCCGGAGCTGTGCCCAGATCTCTGTAGTAACTGGTGACAGTTGTGCCCATTTGCTAACCCCCTTTTTAACCCACCCCAAATCCTTCAGTGGCTCTCTCATGGATGTTCATTAATATAGCATCCAAGGCCTGCGACCATCTGCCCCTGTCCCTTCTTTGGCACCGCTCCTGCCCATCCCCCAGTGGACTCTTCACTCCACATCAAAAGTTGTCTCGGACCTTTGCAGTTTATCCACACTGACCCCTCGGTCCCGAAGACTCCCTTCCCTCCTTCATCTAGTGATTTTCTACTTGTCCTGCGAAGGACAGCTGCAGTATCATCTCCTCCAGGAAGCCTGGCCACCCTCAGTTAGGTAACCTGACAGAGGGGGCCACAGTATCCTCTGCTCAGCACAAGGCCTGGCATGCAGGAGGTGCTCAACCAAAATAACATTGGCTGAATAAGTGAATGAGAGAATGAATGACCAGGCCTCTCTCAAGGGCAGCATCACATCTAACACACACATCTGTTTTCACAGGTGTGCCGATTCCGACTCAGGGGGCTTCATGAATATCTGCTGAACAAATGAGCACATGACCCTATCACCTCGGTGTCCCCAGAAAGTCATGGCAAGCTACTGTCCCCTGGAGAAGGTTGCAGTGGGAGATGGGATATTGGCACCTGGCACAGCTGGAAAAGTAGGAAGCCAGATTGGGGCATGTGGGTGAGGGGCTCTGCGTGCTCTGGGTCCAGGCAGCAAGAGACACATTGTCCGTGGAGAATGCACAAACAATCAAGCTCACTAAAAGCCCGTGTGTATTTTGTTGTCACCATACACTGGTAAGTTAAAACAATGTCACTGAGAAATTCTCATATCCAGGGCAGCTCAGTTTGTGTGCTGCCCAAACTCACGTGCTTCACCTCTGGCTCCGGTGGCCCTCCCGCTGGGTGTCTTGTTGGCCACTGTAGCACCTCAGGGTTGTGGTTGAGGACCTGACCTGTGCCAAGAGTGCTGTTGTCACCTTCAGCTGCAATGGCCTTAGGAAAGAAGCCCGTGCTGGCTTTCAGGTTTCCTGGCTTCGTGGCAGGGCCAGGCCTGGCTCCTGGCACACCCAAGGGCTGAGCGGGCTCTGCCTCCAACTCTGCGCCCTGTTGGCTGCACCTTGCTTTCCCTCCAGGAGGCAGGCTGCCCGGGGCCGCAGATGGCCGCTTCAGGGGTCAGTGCTGTGGGGAGATGGCTGTTCTGCCACAGGGTCCCCGTTTCTTATTTGTGATCTGCTGCTCTTCATGGTGCTTTAGCACAAATAGGCAGTGACAGCTCCAGACTTCAAAACTCTCCTGGGGACAGGAACGCAGCCTGGCCAGGGTCCCCCATGCAGCTCTCCTGGTAAGAAGAGGCGGGGCAGGGACACACGAAGGTGCCTTGGAACAGGTGGCTTCCTGAGAGCAAGGGGAGTGAGCAGGGGAGGGCCTCTCAGGGGGCAGAGAAGGGCAGGTCTTGGAGGCTGATCCATCTTGTCCTGTGCTCTTCCTGCTCCATAAAAACAGACACATTGCAAAAGGGAAAGAAGGAAAAATCAGTCCTTTCGAGTGTGGTTAGAGCCCCTCCCTCTGCTTCTTGCCCTCTTACTCTCCTGTTTTCTTCCCCAGAGGAAGGGATGTGCATTTCAGTTCTTGAAGACTTCAGCCAGCTCAGGGCCCAGCTCGAGTGCCCTAGGACCCACCGTGTACCCAGCACAGGACACCCTGACTCCTGCCACCCTCAAAATAGCCCCCGGAAGGTTATATTTTGTTGTTTGTTTTAATTCAACAAATATCAGAGTGTTTCCTCCGTCCTGGACACTGGGCCACAGTGGTCAACAGGTTAGACAGTGTTCCACCGTCATGGCTCCGACCGTCTACAGCGGGGAGACTGTGAGAGGTCTGATAAATGATCTACAGGGAGTCATCCGGGTGATAAGCTGCAGAGCCACTGGGGGGTACCCCGGGTTGGAGAGTCAGAGGAGGTAACATGGAGGTGAGAGATAAAGGAAGCTGGGAGAACCAGCTCCCAGCTCTTCAAAGAACAGGGCCAAGGAGGAGCAACAGAGGCAGAGGGAGCGGTAGGCCCAAAGGATGGGAAAGGGCTCTGCAGACCCCCAAAAACAAAGGCAGTGAGATTGGCCAAAGTGAGTGGTCCACAGAGGAGAGGGGCAGGTGAGAGGTGCTGAGGAGGGGCGTGGGTCACCAGGAGAGTTGGAGTTTTACTTGGGGAGCAATGGACAGTCACTGAAAGCATGTAAGAAGGAGAAACATGTGCCTTTGTTTGTGTTTCATGAGCTCGTCCTGGCCACTGTGTCGAGAGTGCAATAGAGTGGACATTGGCTGAGAGGTCTGTGGGGAAACCACTGTGCTGACAGAAGTAAAAGATGGCGGAATGGTGACGGTGGCGGTGGTGAGAGCAGCGGGTGGTTGGGTGTCAGGGTAGGGGAAGATAGGATTGTGCATTTGGAGAGTGAAGGTGCCATTGTGGAGATGGGTAAGGCAGGGGGATGGCCAGGTTGGGTGGTGGCATTGGTGGGAATCTAGAAATCTGTTGGGGACCTGATGAGTGTGTGGTTAAGCACACATTGAGGTAGAGTTTGTAGCTGGCTCATGAGTTACAACACAGAGGACACCCAGCTGGAGATACCATTTAGGAGGCACAGAGCTGTGTGTGGTGATTAGTATTCTCCACCGGGATCCCCTGTGAGCTGAGAGCTGGCTGAACACCAGCTGCAGGCTTCACAGGGGCAGGCACCAGGCCTGTCTTGCTCCTGCCCAGCACCTTGCAAACTGGCCGTTGGTGGCATTTGCTAAGTCATCATTACAGACCAAGGGAGAAGAGGCAAAGACCAAGGGCGTAGTCCCCTTCCTCACAGAGCTTATAGGATGCAAGGCCACCCAGAAACGAATACACAGAACAGAGTCATGTGACCATTTTGGACTCAGGGACCATTTATTTGTATGAGCCAGGGTTGACATTTACCTTAGCCTCACAGAACCTTCCATTGGTGAGTGGTCCAAATGAATAGGCAAAGTGTGCTGATGAGGAAAAAACCTAAGGAGTCTGAGAACTATTTTCAGATCCTTGAGAAGTATCTATGATATGCTGAGTGTCAGACACACGTTCCGTGAGTTCACACACAATTTGCTTTGCTTTCCTGTAGCATGTGGCGTCTCTGACTCCATCGCAGTCCTTTGGTTTGGAGATATTCTGACCCCTTCCTCTCCCCGGCCCCCTCCACACCCATCTGCCCATCTTCAGGCTTTGTGAGGATTGGGGACCTTCTCTCACTTCGTCTCCCTAACTGCAGAGACTGGCTGGGCGCTTTGCATTGTCACGGGGGGATACCAGACAACTGATGCCCATCAACAGATAATGGAAACTTGATGTGTTTATTGAATACGTAAATTCTTAGCTATTTATTAAAAGAAATGCTCTGAGGATAGCTCTTAGGTAATGCTGCTTGGAATTACTACATTCGATCCAACGGCAATAAAACTGTATTTGCGGCTTTAAAACTCATGGTAGCTGTGAGACCTGGAGTAAGTCTCTTGGCCTCTCTGCAAGGCCTGTTTCCCGCTGCGTGGGGCATGTCAAATGTACCCGTTTATCAGGCGGGGCTCTGCTCCTGGCTCTGCCGGGGAAGAGTGCCCTGCACCCGAGAGGGAGAAGTTTGCACTGGGTCCATCCTGAGCAAAGACACACGGGCCAGCTCTGGGCTCTTGGGAAAGATATTGACATGACAAGGGTGGATTATTTTTATAATAAAAAAAGGTCAAGTTAGCCATGGTTGGTCTAAAAACAAGCATGGTTGGTTCTCCCCCTGAATTCTCTCTCAATCCACCAGTCTCAACATCCTCCCTGCCCCCTCATGGTCTGGACCCCCAGCCCCAGCCCCCTCTTTCAAGGGCCCCTCTCTCTCTGCTTCCCTTCATGCTCCACGCTCCATGTGCTCATCGCTCAGCCGCCCAAGTGACATTTTAACAACATAAATTAAATCACCTCCTGCTCTGCTTAAAACACTTTAGGGATTACACGACAGTCCAGATAAATCTCTCTGCTCCTCACTGTGCTCTTGAAGGACAGCCCGGCCTTCCTCTTCAGCTTCAACCCCCACCTCTCCCTCAGCTGGCTGCAGCCACACCGGGCTCCTCAGTTCTCCAGGTCTGACCCCCAGGGCCTCCCTGACTCTGTGGCCTCCAGTCGGCAAGCTCTGCCCCTCGCTTTTTGCAAGGATGGCTCTCGGGCCTCAGCATAAATGTCACCTGTTTGGAGAGGTCCTCCCTGCCTGGCACATAATAGATGCTCAATAAGTAGTCACTACGTGAACAGATTCTCCCCACTCTGCATGACCCCCAGCATGGAGAACAGAAGAGGGAAAGAAGTAATCTTGGCATCTTGAGGTTTCATTTTGGGCAACACTAGATGACAGTGCCCTGGCCTTGGTGGTAGTTTGAGCTCCCACGAAGGTGCGCCCCACCCTGTGCAGGCAAACCACAGGCCCCGTGCTGCCCACTAGCGTGGGTCTATTTGAACATGCATGTAGAACAATCCCTCTCAAAGCTCAGACTTCCAGAAATACTTCAAGGGAGTTCTCGGTGGGCATCTGAGGTCTGACCTGGTTGTGGGGAGCCGAGGCCTGTCCGTCTTGAGCCTTGTGCTAGTGACACTCACTAATGGCGGCCCACTTCCCTCATGGCCTCTGCTCTCAGTGGTAAATCAAATTGTTTCTGCCTTCCTGCCCATCTTGCATCTTTGAACAGGGAGTCAGGCTCTGCACACACTCTAGGAATCTGAGGGAGGCCGTCACGAAGCACTGGGGCTCAGGTCTGGGGGAAAGGTGTGAACAGAGCGGGCTGTCACGATGGCGCATGGACCACAAGCCAAAATCAAGACCTCAAACTGGCTGCTGGCGGAGTTTCGGGCTTAGGCTGTCTACTTTTTCACAGTCAAAAAGGAGGAGATAGAGTTTGGAGCCAAGGCATGTCCCTTCACCTCCTTCCTCCTGGAAGCCACAGATGTCCCCTGAGTGCCTGTTCACTCCGGGGCTAACCCCTGCTGTGGCATTGGAGGGAGCCCCCCCCATGTGGGTGAGGAGCTGAGGGCCTGGGCAGCACTATCTCCCCTGCCATGCTTCTCCTTGTCGAGAAGCACTTCTGAGTTGGGAAGAGGTTAGGGGAAAGACTGGGACTTATTGGCTTGCCATGGTCCCTCCCATGGCACACAGGTTGGTGGCTGTGACTGAGCCTTATCAGATGCGTTGGTGAGAAGGTTGGAACTTGTGGCCTGATGCACCTTGGGCAAGTTGCCTGAACTCTCTGGACCTCACCTTTTTCTCTGTAAAGTGGGGCTGATGACACCAGCCTCACGGGGTGTCATGCAGTGGCCAGAGCTGACAGGTCAAGGGCTGAGCCATTTTGTAAGTGAGGGCCCTGGATTCAGAGAAGTGGAGTAGATGTCAAAGTCCAGCTCGACCCCAGGACACCTGCCTGTCTCCACAGCACCCTGCTCCTTCTCTCCCGCCTGCCTGGGAGCCTGGCATGGCCTGCGCTAATGTGTGACTCCCTGTTCCCCAGTGAGGAGCTTCAGGCCCCATGGTGACAGTCTCTGTGGACATGTGGATAGGCTTTCGTGTCAAGCTAACTGATCTGTGGCCCCCTGGACTCTCAGAGGTAATTGATTGTATTCCCAGTCATTCGAAGGTGGTTTTTCTCCCTCACTGGCTTTTGTGGCTCTGAACTTGAACCCTGGGTCCAGTCCCCAGAGAATGGAGAAGTCTGGTTTGGCACCCTGAGAGCCGCCCAGGGCCTGTGAGGAGCTGGGCTGTTGCCATGGCATCTGCCGTAACCCTCCCGAGGCTGGGCCCAGCCAGCCTGGCCCAGAGAAGCATGGGGTCACGCCTGGCTGGTGGCAACCTTGCTGCGGGGATCTGGTCCCCAGGAGGCTCTGATGCTGTGGGCACCAGAGAGGCATCCACAGGGATGGGGTATAAGGGTTCAGAAGGACATCTTTCTCCTGAGGGTCCCTGCCTGAGTGTCTGCCCCGTGCCTCACACCAGGCCCTGCTAGAGCGCCGGCTCAGGGCTTCACTCGTTCATTCACGTGGTGCTTCCCGAGCACACCATGCTCCCAGCCCTGGGAAAAAGAGCCAGACATGCAGGGCTGACCCTCCTGGAGCTTCCACTTCAGCAGAGGAGGGAGCCACCGCTTAACGTCAAAATCACAGCTGTGCCAGGTGCAGTGGCACACGGCTGTAATCCCAGCAGCCCAGGAGGCTGAGATGGGAGGATCGTGGATTCAAAGCCAGCCTCAGCAAAAAGTGAGGCGCTAAGCAACTCAGTGAGACCCCGTCTCTAAATAAAATACAAAATAGGGCTGGGGATGTGGTGGAGTTTAATCCCCAGCACCCCTCCCCCTCCGCACACACCGAAAGAATTACAGCTTGGACGAACATGCAGAGAGCTACATGGTGCTCGCCTGTCACAAGAGAGAGTTTGGCCTAACCTGCGAGGCCAGCCAGACTCCTCAAGGTGACGTCGGAATGAGTGGGTAGTAACCAGAGAAGGAGGACAAGGGGTTGCTTCCTGGTAGAGGGGACATGTGCAGAGACTCTGTGGTGGGGATGCATGGACTGTTGGTACAGTCAGAGCAGCAGGAGCAAGGAACAGCATGGGGCAGGTTGGGGATCAGACCCTGCAGAGCCTGCCGTCCATGTGAGGAATCTGGCTTTTATCTCAAGGGCCATTGGAAGCCACCAGAAAGCTTTCAACTAGGGAAAATGTCGAAAGATGTTCAACTACGTCTGGTTTGAAATGACCATGTGGCAGCTGGGGAAGACTTGGAGGGAGTGGCCATGGGGAGCCTGAGGTGGTGGGAGACGTGCTGGGTAAGTATTTTAAAACATGTTTGCCATCCATCGCCCACCTGCCTTGCCCACGGCCGCTGCCCACTCAGTCCCCCTGGCCTCTCTCACATGGCTCTAACCGGCCCCTAACTGGCCTCCTGGCCCCTGCCATTTCCCGTCTGTCCTCTGTCCCCAGGTGGCTGGCAGAATTCCCATTCAAAACTCCACTCTCATCAATCCTCGGGGGTTACAAACGGTTCTAGCTTCCTGTCCTCCGCACGGAGTGTGGGACTCTCGTTGTAGTCACATCCCTTCCATTTCCGTCTCCCTCCAGCTCCGGGAACACAGTGTGGCTTTGATTCCCAGGGGCTGCCCTCTGCCTGCAGTGCTCTGCTCAGCTGCAAGAACAGGCTGCCCCGCCCCCGCTGACTACATCTGTCTGGTCTGTTTATTTCCTTGCTGCCCCTGAGGCCAGGGAGAGAATAGGAGGGAGCACCTACCCAGGCCAGGTTCTTGAAAACTCAGAAAACCATGTTATCCCAGGAACGGCTGGCAAGGAAAGAAAATGCTGTCATTTACATTTTACAGCTGGGGAAACTGAGGCTCAGAGAAGGAACGTGACTTGCTCAAGGTCATGCAGCAGTTTGGGGGCAGAGTTGGGGTCTCTACCAGGCTCTCTATATGGCCTCTGCCTCTCCTTCATTGAGGCTAGGATGGGGGTGTCTTTTGGCCTTCAGGGGTTCCTTGCACCTTGGAAAGGAAGGAAATAGTGGAACAAAATAAAGACAAATTTCCTGCTTCTTTGGCATCTGCTCCTTTTAGAGGTCTCTCTGCCACGACAATGAGTGCTTATATGTTATAAATCACATGACCCTTTTTATTGAACATAGGAGCCTGTCAGTCTCTACGCAAACTTCTTAGGTGGTAATATCTCAAAAATGTTACAAGACCCTATAAGGTGGGTGCCATAGCTCTGCCCTTGCTGTGCAGAGGAAACCAAAGTCCAAACTTTCTATAAGGAGCAAGGCTGGGCCGGGCTGGCCCCAATCCATCAGTCCTTACTTACTTCTGTGAAATACACCCTGTACACATGCACGCAATGACTTGCCTGAAATCTCAAGGTCATTAAGGGCCCAATCGCTTTGTGATCCTCACAGATTCCACAGCTTGGACCCCACTGCTCTCCCAGCCCAGTTGTCTTCACATGTTTCTGGATTCCCTGACAGGAAGGAGGCAACTTTCACTTCAGTTCATTATATCTATCCATCCATCCATTCATCCATCATCCATTCATTCATATGCCCACTCCCCATCCATCCATCCATCCACTAATCTATCTAGCCAGCCAGCCAGCCAGCTATTCATCCATTCATCCATCCATCCAGCCAGCCAATCGCCCATCTACCCATCCTTCTACCCATCCACCATCCATCCAATAACATTAATTAGGACCCACTGTGTGCCAATTCCCACGATGTGCTGGGGCAAGAGAACAAAAAGTCCACAGGCCAGTGCTGCTCTCTGTTCCCCAAAGCTGTTGATGCCTGTGCAGATATCAGTCAACAAGTCTGATTTCTGGAAGGGCCCCGTAACTTGTCAGAGGTTGACAGTCGGAAGGCATGCCCAGAAAGTCCTTATTTTTCCACTGCCAGTAAGGGCTGGGGCAGATGTTGCAAATTGATGGGAAAAAGAATTAGCTCAGCTGTTGCTTGTCCCTCATGAGCAGCAACAATTAGGAAACATCTTGCAGGCTCTGGGCGCATCGTCATGGTTGGAGTTCCCCTGGGCCAGGCAGCTTGCTGAGATTTTTCTAGAGGCAGATTGTCACAGCTCTTCTGCCAGCATCAGCTCAGGAGGCATCTCTCAACATCCCGCTCTTCCTGTTGACATATCTGTCAGTGGGGTGACTGAAAGGCAAGCTCTGCCTTCCTACAGAAACTACTGGAACAGCTGGCGTTTATTCTGGGCCTCCTGCGGACCAGTTTCCTGATATGCAATGGATCCACTCCCCACCCTGGCCCTGGGATATAGGTGATAATATTCCCCTTTTACAGATGAAAAAACTGAGGCTCCAAAAGGAGATGACAGTGGGAGGGTGGGAGTCTGGGGCTGGTGTGATGGCAGGGCTGTATGGACTGTCACGTGCTGTGCTGTTTTACGGCTGGGCAGCCCTGTGTGAAGATCAGCATCATGTAACGTGGTGACATCTTGTAAATTTCTGCTCCCTTTTCTTGTGGGGATCCAAGAGGTCCCAGGGGAGGCAACAGAAGCTTATGTGAAGATGGTGTCTAGAAGTTTGGAGTCTGGGATCCATTTACGTAGGGAAGATGGCGGCTGGACTTCCAGATTGACCCTCAGTACATCTGACTCCCACATACTTGGAAGGGCACTAGTGGCATCTCAACTGTATCCAGCTGTCACTTGGAACTTTTTCACTTCCAGAAATGCATCTGAGGTGTTGTTCATGATACCAGCAGCCCCTGCTCCAGAGTCGCACCGCAGAGTCACACCGCAGAGCTCCTCCCAAAAGGCCAAGATGGA